GTGATGTGGAACAGGCGACCAGTGCGAGGAGGACCACAGACAGTCGTCGCCGTTACTGACTGGCCGGGTTGTTTAAAAGGGTGTTGGAACGCGGCTTGAAGGAACTAACTGGTTGACACTAGCGTGCTTTTGGGCTATAAGATTGATTATACCGGCACCAAGAGGGACGGGTACGAGATAACGATCTGGATCGTGAACGTGGTCGATGCCTGTTGATCTCTAATTGTTGCATGCGATCGGTCAAAGCATCAAACATGGCTTGTAGGTGCGATATAGAAGCAAGAAACGGGTCGGAATCCGTAGTGGGCGCAGGGCGAGAGACGGAGTTCACGGGGTTACCGTGATATGTTGTGTCTGTCTTATCCGCCATTTGGGCTAGCTGCTTCAAGCTGTGGTCATCAACGAAAGCGCTGATGACGTGGGACATGGAGGGTGGTTGTCGAGCCAAGAGACGGAGTTCACGGGGTTACCGTGATATGTTTCGCGTGTCTTATCCGCCATTTGGGCTAGCTGCTTCAAGCTGTGGTCATCAACGAAAGCGCTGATGACGTGGGACATGGAGGGTGGGAGTTTGTCGAGCCACAGTTGGGCTATAACTTCCACCGCTAGCTCACGGCCGCAGAGGAGACTGCGCATATGGGGAAGTAGTTGTGCTGGCGATCTGTCCCCAAGTTCGACAGTGGTGAATAGATCCCGAAGCATTTTGTTTTCTGATTTCCCTGTCCTACTTATGACGGCCGCTCGAAGGGCGTCATACGAATTTTCCTGAGGAATATCTTCCAACAGATCTTCAACCTCTGTTGCTACATCACAAGGAAGATGCTGGGCAACATAGGAAAACCGAATGATTTGGGAAGTAGTGCGTCGGGTAGTAAAAACGGCCTCCACCTGATGAAACCATACCCCGGGAGTGCGTGGATTGTAGTCTAGTAAACGTATGCTAATCGCATTCTCGACTAAATCCGCTGAATCAAAGTGTGCCTATATAATTACCAGGCAGAAAAATTACGACGAATCGAAAGGAAAACCTTTCAAAAAATATCCAGAAATACTCGGGATCACCAAATTTGCAGTGGTCTGGTTACCCGATAAGTTAATTTACCAGGAGTTTGTGGCAAAGAAATAAAAACAATAACGCTAGGTTGGGTATACAAAAATAAAAAGGTCAGATGGAACAGACTCAATAACAATTGTTCTCTTGACAGTAGTTCGTCATTGGCCTAGGTCAGCAAATAAACAATAATCCAATTATGTTGGTCTAGAGGTCTTCTTCTGAACGATTCCCACATATAATAGATTCCGAAGATGGTCTGAAATGTTCTGGTACCAGAGTTAGTGCAACACTCGCGACTGACCGCTGCAAGCGCGAGTTAAATCAGAAGAGAGAGTCGAAGCACGTGACTACGATTGTATTATATGAAATTGTACAAGTGCGCGTTTTTGTGGTTATTCGTATTTAAACAAAAAACGATTATGCAATTGATGAAATACGTAGTGTTATAATGTGAGTAAAACAAAGATACAAAACGCCACAGAAGTGAGGTTTTAAGTGGAGCTCAGTTAGTCAGCGTACGAGCGCTTCACGTGGTGTGGTAAACAGAGCCACTTGTTTTTGTAGAGTCTGCGCTGAGACCGATGGAAGGACGCCATAGAGACGGTCCTCTCTAGAGGACGTATTGTCCAAACATGCCGTCAAACTATCGCGTTACACATTCATAACTCATTCCTGTTTGTGAGAAGTTTACCACCAAAACACCCACTAATATCACAGGAACTTACATAATTGGTCGCGAATTATCAAGGCCGTCAAAAACCACCCACCGTTTCCTGAGAACCCAACAAGGAATCAAGCCCCTAAAAAGTCCTAAACATGAGGAGCTGATGTGGCTGGATTTGTCTAAAATGGTAGCTTGAATAATTAAACATTCCGCCACGCAGGCAAACGGTCGCTAATTTTTTCCATGGCTTCTTAGCCCTTTGATTTCTAAGGTGATGAATATTTTCCGGATAATCATACAAGAAGAGGAACTCCCGGCGCTCCTCCATTTATCGCCCCCTGCCCTGATAAGTATATACTCTATGTATGTACAAGCTCTTCAAACTACAGCCTCCGTTACTTCAGTAACGGAGCCCATTTATCTTGGTTTTGATTGACTGTGGAATGTAAATTCAACGTCCGCTTCCCAGACAATGCACTCGATTATGCTAAGCGCCTGGTTTAGAATGGTTATATTTGTGCCTTCCGCACTGAGGATGGACGGTAACACTGCTTTTGTTTAGCCATATTTTCATTTTTTGTGAGACTGTTCATACCTGTGCACTCGTGCATAGTTATGGTGCACTTGCCTTAGCGTGGTTCCTTGCCTGCTCCCAATCCTCAAATAGGGTTCATCAGATAGTGATTCCCAACGTCGACGTCTACATTCTTTATATCGGCTAAAATAGCACCCAGTTCTTTTCTACCAGAATTCGGCTTTGTGGCTGACAGCCGTTAAAACAGAGGCTTCCTGCTCCGGTGGATATAACCCAAAGGCGTTTATTCAACGCAACATAGGATGTTAAATGCTGAACAGGAAAACATCGAGCGACCTGCCCGGGGGAAGACTCAGAGCTGTATCTTTTGAGCAAATGTGTCCAACGACTTTGTGGATAATGATAAGGCAAAACCCTCCCACCAAGCAGCAGCGGAAAACCATAGATAAAGAAAATATGACTGGAATATTACTTCGGGAAGCAACCAGCGACTGTGTAGCTACTTCAACAACAAATGACAGTACTTTGTCCATTTATGTAAAGCGAATATCATAACATGAGATTTAATTTTCCTCGGGAATGGTGGGAACCAGAGGAAATCTCATCACCCAGTTTGGTGGGTTAAAGAAGCACGTATGGTCCTGTCTTGATAAAAATGAAGCAATAGCCTTGTGGTTGTGTACAGAACAAAAAATGACCACGTTGATAAGCTCGCAGCATGCTCTTTCTCCACCTTGTTGTCCTAGTGTGCTGACACAGGGTTTGTACCGCTAACGCACATCCAATCTCCATAGGAGTAAAGTAGTGGCAGAGAGTAAGTCCTCATTTTGTCAAAAGCAATGTGTATACTAACTAGAAAACAGCTACACAACTGTTAGATTTGCGACCGCTAAAGTGCACCCATCAGATAAAAACAAGTTCTGCACGTCGTTTAAAAGGATTGACCAACCAGAACGCGAGAAAGTTCTGACGAAGAGCATTACCTTTAGTCACAGCCCGCTCATGTTCCCGAATGATAGCGAGCTTCTCCAAGTGCACCCTGAGTTCTAGGGAGCCACGAGTGTATATGACAACTACGACAGACTCTTCCGGCTCCAAGATCGTCACCTGCTATTTCGAAAGAACACTGCTCTGTAAGAACTTTTTGCCCACCGGAGTAGACCTTGTGAAACATATCAAAAGATTTGGGCACCAACTACACCTTTCACTGCATCTCACGCCAAACCTGGTCTATCAGGATACCTCCCGGATCAAAACGCAAATCCAACAAGCTCACCAAATTCCTTGGTATATTTTACCATCACTCGCATACCTCCTATCCGGCCACATTCACACTCCACTCTAACTTTACAGTGCTATAGAGCAACGGCAAGAAAAAGCGAAATGAAAAATCGGAGAACAGACAATGAAGACAACATAAAAAAGAATAAAAATGTTACCGATACATAAACTTGTTCCAAGAAACAAAACTCCTGCAAATTTCCCCCAGGAGCGCTTTGCGTCAGTTTTCGTATTAAGTCTTGCCATGTCTTATAGTTGGCCCAGATGCTTGAGTAAATCTTCGCTTTGGCAACCCCTGAAAGCCAAACTGTTTGTAATTCAAAAAACGCGCTTAGTTGAGCGCTTCATATAGTACATATATATGGAACCATTGGGAAGTGCATGTGTAATGGGGAGCCATAACATTTTTCTGCTCACTTCTGCAATTTACATTTTGCTTAAACCACTTTGTTTGCCTTCACTACTTGCCTTAACAGCCTCCTGGCGGCAATAACCCCCAGACTGTCTCGTGCGGATGGCTTCGATTTCGATACTGAATCCTAAAGCGGAGTTCGCGAAAGCGCAGCATGCGTTTAACATAAACGTTGCAGCAGCCAAAGGCCTTTTTGAAGTTTTAAAGACAAACTTAGGTCCAAAAGGAACAATGAAGATGTAAGTTAACATGATTTAACTAATTTCGTACAGGTTGGTTTCCGGCGCTGGTGATATCAAAATCACAAAAGATGGGAACGTGCTTTTACATGAAATGGTAACAACGCTCATATACTAATTGATAAGTTTAGCAAATTCAACACCCCACTGCTAGCTTGATTGCTCGTGTGGCGACTGCTCAAGATGATATGACTGGAGATGGCACCACATCCAACGTCCTTTTAATAGCTGAATTATTGAAACAAGCTGAAGTGCATACGTCAGAGGGCCTCCATCCGAGGCTAATAACAGAAGGCTTCGAACTTGCCAAAAATAAATGCACCGAGCTTCTCTCGGAGTGTCGAATCGAAGTCCCCGCTGAAATGCCTGACAAAGCTGTCCTTACCTCAGTTGTTGGCACTTCATTGCGCACCAAGTTGCATCCTGATCTGGCCAATATACTCACGGAGGTAACTTATCGCTTGCATCTCAACAGTTCATTGAGCCCCTAGCACGTAGTCGACGCAGTTCTTTGCATCCGAATTCCAGAGGAGCCTCTTGATCTTCATCGGATTGAACTGATGCAAATGCAAAATAAAACCGATATGGACACGTCCTTAATTAAGGGAATTGTACTTGATCATGGTGGACGGCATCCTGACATGCCTAAGCGCGTGACAAATGCCTACATTCTTACGTGTAATGTGTCGTTCGAGTACGAAAAAACGTAAGTTACTGTACTTTTGTGTCTGATGTCTAAGGGAGGTGAACTCCTCATTCTTCTATAAAACTGCCGAAGAGCGCGCAGCCCTTGTGAAGTCCGAACGTGAGTTCATAGACCAACGGGTCCAGAAGGTTATTGACTTGAAGAATAAAGTATGCGACGCGGCTGGTGGTGACCCCAAACCCGGGTTCGTCGTCATCAACCAGAAGGGGATCGACCCGTTCTCACTGGACGCGTTTGCACGCGAAGGTATCCTAGCTCTGCGCCGCGCAAAGCGCCGAAACATGGAGAGAATTGCGCTCGCGTGCGGTGGATACGCTGTCAACTCAGTTGATGACATCACTCCAGAGTGTCTTGGACATGCAGGGCTTGTTTACGAATACGTGTTGGTATGTTGTTTTTCAAATTTATGCTAAACGTTTAAGGGGGAGGATAAGTTCACCTTCGTTGAAGAATGCAAAAACCCTCGTTCGGTCACTCTTTTGATGAGAGGACCCAACAAGCACACTCTTACTCAAATAAAGGACGCTATAAATGACGGACTCCGCGCCGCCAAGAATACATTAGAAGATGGTAGGTTTTATTATCGTTCGCTATTTCTAAAAGAATAATGTGATCCTCTCAACCTGCCGAACCTAACCCAGTTTACACTCATGAAGTCTATATTTAAAGTGAAAATACCTTCCGGCTTAACCGAACTGGTGGCATCTCATTCAGCCTACTGGTTGTTCGGCTGATAGGTCATGCCCTTGTGTAACCGTCATCACAGTCGCCCATCTTCTGTATTTGGACAGCTGGGAGCACAACATTCGTTGAAGCTCTCTGGTGTTTCGGGAGGTAGCGAGAGGTAGAGTACAAATATGGGTGCCAAATGTTCAAGGTATTTGGTTTTTGTCCTGCCTTATCTTACGGGCCTTGGTTTGGCTTAATTGGCGAGCTGAATCAAGGAAGTCTAAGGCCAGTTGAATATTTCATTGAAAGAAGGATCGTCAGTGAAGCATCGGTGTTGAACACAGGTATCATGCTGTCGATGATGATGATGATGATGACGGTGGTTCATTAACGTGGACGGTAGGTTAAATATCTTGAACAAGCGTCAAGTTGGTCTGCAAGAAGTACCTAGGGAGCAACAGGCGAATACAAGTATAGTGATCCTTCATCCGTGGTGTCTTTTGAACGTATGTCTGCCATCGAACCCTAGGGAAGCAGGTCAGGTGAGGTGATGTTCAGTAACCCAAACGTGGACAGGAGCGTGTATTTCCATTACTGGCCGTACCTAAGCCACTAAGCTATCCGAAGCCGCTGAGTTTTTGCTCAGGCACTCAGTGGTACAATTTTTCCGCCTTGTTAGACTCCGGTGAGCTTCTCAGCCGAGATAGCTCAGTGGTTGAGGTGCTGATCTGGAATACCCTACAGTCTCAAAGGTTTAGGACCGCGTGTGTTCTCGCAAGCGCCACTGAGCTGGTCCGGGTGACCTCCCACCCGCATTACCCAAAGATGGGAATGAATTCCTCAACTAACATTTGTCTGATCTTATATTGGCGTATATATATACATATACATATATATATATATACATATATATGCACATATATATATATATATACTGGCGTATCTATATTGGCGTAAATAAGACTTTCAGATAACTGGAGAGAATCGATGATAGTGCCCATTTTTCAAGGGGGCTCTTAATGGGTGCGGTAACCACAGGATATTAAACTCAACCTAACTGTTCAGCTGTAACACTTTCCTGTGCTTAGCTGTCGTGCTACCTGAAGGAAGCATGAGGGCTGGGATACTGCCAGGTTGCCCAAGCCTAGACAGGGGGAATCGAGAAGCAGAGGTCGGATTCGAACCACGGACCTTCAGGTCAGTAAATTCGTGCTCTAACCACTTTACCCCAGTCTTAACGAAACTGTTGACGTCACCTGTGTCTCGACACCTTATGATGGCTCGGGAAACACTGAATCAACAGTAGCACGCAGGATTCCAGCCTGGTAAGGGCAATGTTGACCAAATTTGCAATGAAAGTTACAGCACGAATGCCACTGACATGGATCAACCACCATTTCTTGCAATGTCTCCAGTCAAGCACAGTAAGGGTCACTGGGACCCCAACCTGACATCGATTATCAGCGATAGCTTGCAGCGCCACCAACCAGGTTTACTGGAGATCACGTGTTCACCATCCTGGAAGGCGGGTAGCGTCTACATGAACCAAACATTTCGTAATCTTCATACCCCTCTGCCAGGTCAAGGGTTGGCCACCTGCTTGCGCCTCTCGGATTTGAGCATAGAAAACAGCGAACGGTGGTTCGGAATCCGCAGTGGTTATCCCCTGGCGGACACCACTTTGTGTGCGGAAGCGTTTCGAGAGTTTTCAGTATACTCTCACGTCCGGAAGTCTGAGGGTACAAACAACGTGTGATGTTCCTTGACAGAGAAATGGGTCAAGGAGAACAAGCCGGTAAGCCAAGGCAAATGTGCCTTGAAATTCAGGAATACTAAAACTATGGGTCGTCTGTACGTATGGCGTTCTTCTAGCACCTGACAGAGAGTGAAGATTTGGTTAACGCGACCCCGCTTGCTGCTCTTGAGTTAGTGCCTCACGAGCCACCATAAGGCGACAAAGCACAAATGATGCCAGCAGTCTCGTTACAACCTGAATAAAGCTGATCCCCTTTTGGTCACCACACCCACTACGGCCCCCTCTTTGAAAATGGACAGTACCGCCGACTCCCATCAGTTGTCTGAGACAGTCTTCTTTTCCGAAACGCAGGCAAACAGATCAGACAAGCGCTGACTGAGGATTTCACCCTTGGCGCTTCGGAGAACATATGCACTCATAAACTTCCGAGGCTGTATGGGGTTCCACGTTTACCGCCCTGGGTTCTACGTCAACTGTAGACTGAAAGTCAGTGGCAGCTGGTGGCAGTGTAACTTTTTTCGAAGTATTCGGCCCACCGGTCCAGGCGATCTTTATTCAGGTCACTCCATTCCGATTTTTGATTTCACTCACAGGTGGCTTTCGGAGAGCGGTCTTGCGGATCAAATCAGATAATCTTCGGGCATTGCCGGTTTTCTGAGCCTCTTCCTTTTCCTTGACTTTCTGTGACCAACAGACTGGTTCGCATGCTCACTTTCACTTGACGTCTGATAATTCGTTGCATCAAGTTATGTCGCGGACCGGGTGTGATATTTCTTCGAGATTTAAGCAGTACCACTGTTCGGTCTGATATCCAGTACTTCAGTGAGTCTGGTAGCGCCGTGCCAAAAGCAAAATTCCGCGCTGTGCAAAGAGAAGGTGGTTTCGACCCGATATGAGTTCACATATGATGGTGGAAGAGACTCTAGGAGACGGATATGGTGGATCCGTCTAACATCCGGATCTGCCAGTCTTTCAGTTGCCAGGCGACGTGTCTGCATCTTACGCGGTCTTGGAAAACGTAGCGAGAAACGACTCCGGACGATTGAGCGGTCAGGATTCACAAATGTGCTCCAAAAAACGACCGGCAGTCAGTTACCTATCTACTCCACCGGTGCCTTATCGGCAAGTGATCTTTTTGAGTGTGTGGCCGACACGCCGTTGGAGGACAGTATGTGGCCAGACTACTTTGGCTTTTTCGGATGTTAGTACTGCTCAAAAACTAACTATGGTCAGCACACAGCTGAATGAATTGTTCGCCGTTGTCCGTATGTACCGAATTCAGTCCATGTCGTGTCGTCCATGTCATGTCCATGAGTCTCAGATACACTAAACTCGCCCACTTGTGCGTGTAGATCTCCGGCAACCACAACTTGTCTTTAGTGATGTCAGAGCTACAGTCAGTTGAGGCGTAAGCAGGCACGACAAACACACGTCGACCAACTTCCCTTTGTGAGACTCCTTCACAGACGTTGCCAGGTGAAGCGCGCAGAGATAACTGTTGACAGATACCCAGTCAAGCACGGATCCTTCCACCCGGTGCTCATCCTTCCGCACTAGTTTCTTGGTCGTCGGAGGTGCGCAGCCGGAAATGACTGGAGAGTGATGGGGCGGTTCGCTCCTGCATTGTCCTTGCTCATGTCAATACTAAGTGAGTCCACTGTGAGAGGAAGAGCAGCTTGTTGACCTGCTTGCTTCAGAGTGCGGACATTGAAGGCGGCCAGTTAGACAGGGCGTCGGGGCTTAAAGGTTGATTTTGGGATGCCTGAGGACGTCAGCACCGGATGACGCGCAAATGCTGCTTTCAAAACCGTTGGAGGACGGGCAAGAGCCACTGGTTCTGTTTGCTTCAGCGTACGAGCACCAAAGGCAGCTAAGTAACCCGGATTTCGAAGTTTGAAAGCAGACTTCGAAGTTTTTAGGGCTGTTACTGAAGTCGGGCACAAAAGCTGTAGCTGAGCGTCATGAACGGTGAACAATTCGGTCAGCCCTAAAGCCGGGACATGCGGGGAGAGTAAGAGAGGGAATGCATAAAAGTGTGAGAAGAAAAGCGTCGGCAGTGGCATGTTTTCGTCCACCCGCCCTACTGCTTGCAGCAAGTAAGGTGACTCGACTAATAACCACGTGATGGCCGGTGTCGTGTGGGGGTGCTGTTAGTTGTAAGTGTTATGATTGTATATGGGCTGGGATACACTCAAGACGCCCAAGCCTAGAGAGGACGTTTAGGGTCCTCAACTAAAGCTTTTGGCACAAGAGCTTGACCGGAGAGCATTGGGTGGTGGGTACAGGCATACTATTACAGGTCGGTAAGTCTGTTTCAGCCCTAAGTCTATAAAACCGGGAGACTAGCGAAATACACTCATTTGCATTCAAATTTGGTTTTGCGAGAGACACCTGGAACACAGCTGGATATCTCGTTTGTGATGTTTCCAGATTATTTGTCAAACTTTTTTTGTTGATCATCCGGGTGTCGAAGTGAAACCCCAAGTAGAGCTCATTGGGTCATAGAGGTACATCATAGTGGTGCATCATGAGATGATCCAGCCCTAGTGTAGCGGTCAACCTTTCTCGCAACTGTCCAAATCGTTGCTGTTATTGTAGCCTCGTGCGCGATCCTTGGAACTTGAAGATTCGTCTTTATGGCGCCACAAGTGATGTAAATTGACAATCATGATTCGTGCACTGACTTCATCGGACACACTTCTGTTAGGGATAACACATTCCTCCATATATATTCTCCAGCTTTTCCTCTTCAGTCGCAAGATGCACGTTCAGAACCTGCACATTCAGAAGCATAACTATGCACTTTGTAGATGCATTCCGAAAGGTGACTTATGGTGGTCGCTTCACTCAACATTGCGTGTGTCCTGTGTTCGTTCCTAAGCTTTGTCACTTTCGGCTTCTGACTGTCATGCCACCCGAAGTAAGCAGGAGGGCTGGGATACCGCTAGGTTGTCCAAGACTGGACAGAGAACGTCGGGATGCAGAAATCGAACTCGCACCACGGACCTTCCGGTCAAAAAAATCGCGCTCTGATCACTGAGTCATCTCCCCTTCGTCTTCAAAGATAAGAACGATGTCTGTATCATCCAGCATCGAGTTGAAGACCCTCAGGCGCTGAACAAGAATGGAGAAGGTAAACCTATTTGTCGACACCACCTTTTAGAGGATAGCTTTCGGAGACTACGCTCTCACGTCCACGGATGTGTGTATGTCAGGAACCCGTGTCCCAAACTCACTGGGAACCACCAACTCCACCGAATTTGTTTTAGAAAGACCGTATGTTCTGGTAAGAAAATCCAACCGTTAACTGGCCGTTTAAGCAACTAATTGGCCCCGACTGATGGTGGTCTCGTGTTCAGGCATGTCACAGACGCATTGCCAACAAAAGCTGGTCGGATAGCTTTGATTGGAGGTCAAAATGCACCTTACAATTTAGTACTCGTTTTTTTCAATTCAAACCAGTTTATCAGCTATAAATCGTGTGCCACAGGCACATTGGTTCCAGATGGTACAGTTTCGATCACTGGAGAACGGGAAAGTGGAACATACATCCGACTCTTGCGACTGAAGGCATGCTCAGTTTGTTCTGAAATTTGGTAGCTATGCATTGAAGGCGGAAACTTTAATGCACGAGCCGCGTGGGTTGCGAGATTGGGCCATTTCCGCCAATGTCATCAACTACTAGTTATTTGAGTCCCAGGGCCCCATCCAGGCAAGTGGCAGTTGCTCGTCGGACTAAGTTTACTGGTTAGTGTTTTCGTACTTCGTCACCAGGTCACACAATAGCCACCTCTCAGTCGCTTCCACTCAGTACAAGGCTGGGAGAAAAGAGCTCTGTGAGGCAGACGGTATTCTGGCATGCGAAGTACATGTCCCAACCAGCGCGGCCTATGAAGCATGAGTAATTCATCTATTGCGGGAAAGTTCCTTCATCCTAAGAACGTCTGGCGTTCCTCAGCATTACTAATCCGATGTTCCCACCATGTTCGGGGGCCAGCCGTCCCTGATAACCGAACATCACATCATTTGGACGGATGTGTCATGTGCAGGACACGGGCCGGACGAAGGCATGTCCTGATTGGTCAGAATGCCAGCCAATCCGAGTCAAGCACCTTGACTCGACGGTTCTCGCCCCCTCACGGACATTCTGGCACGACCTTGTGGAACACTGTGACTACCCTATATATATACAGTTGTAATGATTTTCCTCTGTCTCCATAAAGGGCTGTGTAGAATTATCCTTGCGTTTTGATATACCATAGTGGGCGGAGCAAGGAAGCCAACGGACCGATACAGAGTTGCACTACCGTACATCAAGACATAACAACTGGCGACAACACGAACCCACGATGTCAATTTCGGCAGAGCAACTCAAATTAATCTTACAGCAACAACAGAAGCAGTTCGAAGAAGCACAACTGAGGCTTGTTGAATCTCTGATGCGCAGTATTTCGGTGAATGCGACAAAAACGCGTGAGCCTCCGTCTTCTTCCGCAGATGCTGCTGCCAGCTCAATTACCGAATTCAATTTTGATGCTGAATCTGGACGAACTTTCGAAAGTTGGTTCAAGAAATATGAAGACATGTTTCAAACCGACTTTGCTCAGTTTGATGATGCATGGAAAGTTCGACTGTTGCTGCGGAAACTGGGGACAGCTGAACACGATCGGTTCACAAATTTCATTCTCCCCAAACTCCCTCGTGACCTTGGTTTCGCAGATGCTGTCAAAATTCTGGCCCAAATATTCGGTGAACAAAGTTCCTTGTTCAATATTCGTTATCAGTGTCTCAAGATTACCAAAAGGGATACTGAGGATTTCATCACATATGCCGGTGTGGTCAACAGAGAATGCGAACGCTTTCAGCTCAGCTCCATGACCGAGGATCAATTCAAGTGTCTCATCTTTGTGGCTGGTCTTCAATCACCACACGATGCAGATATTCGGACCCGGCTACTGAATCGAATTGAACAGGATCCAGAGTTGACGCTTCAGAAACTTACCACCGAATGCCAGCATCTTATCAATCTCAAGGCTGAAGCTGCGATGATTGGACATTCCAAATTCTCTCAGCCTAATATGGTATGCAAAGTAACTTCCAAAAGGAAGTCAAGTTCAAAACGAACTCCAAGAAAACCGCCCACACCCTGTTGGTTTTGTGAAGAATGGCACTATTCACGCCACTGTCCCTACCGGAACCACAGGTGCAGTAAGTGCAGTCGAAAGGGTCACAAAGAAGAATGCTGCAGAGACAACTTCAGGAGCTCGCGCAAACACCGACCCGACAAAAGGACGCAGGCAGAGCCTATGACCGCCACATTCAGGATGAAATCACCTGGTCGACGTAAATTTGTCACATTATGTATCAATGGCACACCAGTTACTCTCCAACTGGATACAGGTTCTGACCTCACCCTGATTTCAAAACGAACCTGGAACGAAATTGGAAGGCCACCAGTGGAACCCACAAAGTGCATCGTTCATAATGCATCTGGTGGAAGCCTCAAACTGACCGGGAAGCTGAACTGTGCCGTAACGTTCAAGGAAATTCATCTCAATGGCACTTGCTACCTCACGAACTACACAGGCCTTGATCTCTTGGGCCTGGATTGGATTAATGAGCTTCAACTGTTGGATGAACCCCTCAATGCCGTTTGTGACGAAACAACTGCAAACGGCCCCGATACGTTCACGAGAACATCACGTCCTGACGATTTTGTGGTCGCTACAGTTACAGCCAAACCGGAGACCAGATGGAGCATACGCGACACAGCGACTATTCAGCTTCTGGCGTCCGGCAGCGGTAGCCCTCTCACCTCAGTGCAATTTGGTGAACCCTCCCAGCAGCCCGCAACGTTTCACCCGCGATCTGAACCGTTCAGTTTACAGTCGCAGGTTCAGGCAAATCGTTCTACTACTATCCGGAAAGTCAAGATAGGGGGGGGGCGGCAGGAGGAACGCCACAACAGTCACACAGAGACCAGCCACCGATTCAAATATATGAGGAATGCTCTCCACGGTGGACGCAGGGTCGACGATGTCAAACACGAGGCACACGTAAGAACATCAGCACAGCCGCGTCATGTGAACCAACTTCAGTCAACAGACTGTGGCTCAGTGAGGGCAGCACGTGTAATGGGACACCGGACAGCCATGATCTGCCTCCCAAGTGGATGGTACCAGATCCCAGATCGGCATGCGTACAGCCTCAGCGACGGATTTAAATGCGACAGCAACTACATGAGTCATCACAGTGGAGTCCAAAGCAGCAGTCGGTTGGACAGCCCTCTCAAGGGGGAGGTGTTCGGGGGCCAGCCGTCCCTAATAACCGAACATCACATCAGTTGGATGCACGTGTCACGTGCAGGACACGGGCCAGACGTAGGCATGCCCTGATTGGTCAGAATGCCAGCCAATCCGAGTCAAGCACCTTGACTCGACGGTTCTCGCCCCCTCACGGACATTCTGGCACGACCTTGTGGAACACTGTGACTACCCTATATATATACAGTTGTAATGATTTTCCTCTGTCTCCATAAAGGGCTGTGTAGAATTATCCTTGCGTTTTGATATACCATAGTGGGCGGAGCAAGGAAGCCAACGGACCGATACAGAGTTGCACTACCGTACATCAAGACATAACACACCAGACCTGACCAATGCTTCGGAGATACCGATGGTCAAACACTGACATCTTCCGTATGTCCTCTGCGCGGAGAGGTCACGTCTCTGATCCATAAAGCAGTATGGATCGCACCACCGCGGTGTAAACTCTTCCCCTGACAGACAAGCTTGCGTCACGTCGGAACCATAGGTGTCGGAGGTTGGCAAAAGCTACCCTGGCCTTTCCGATTCAAAAATAATATCATCCCCAGCCAGTCCACCGGGACTTATACAGCTGCCAAGGTAAGCAAATTTATCTGCCGATTGGCTCACCTGCAAGCATGGGGTGTAGGTTTCACCCCAGCCAGTCCTGTTGCAGCACTTTACATTGCAAGTATGAAGCGCATACCAAACCGTGTGGTAGAATTATTTAGGTTATTTAAAATCGTTTCCATCTGGGCAGGATTTGAACTAAACAGAGCAATATCGTCTGCATAATCAGTATCTGTGAGGGAATGTTCCGGGAGCGTTCTTACTCCCGGTTTTTCAGAGGCAAGCAGAGAAATTTCAAGCAGCATGTCAATAACAAAGTTGCAGTGGAAAGTGGACAGAGGACAGCCCTGTCTTACACCACTGGACATGGACTCTGGTTAGAGCCTCCTGTATACTCGTACATGCCCACAGAAGTTCGCATATAGACCCCCCATAAGGGAGAGGAATTTGGAAGGGACACCTCTGATCGCCAGACACTGCCAAAGTTGCTGACGATCGACAATCAAAATCAGCTTTCAAGTACAGAAAACCGACCAACGTGGGAAGTCGGAAGAAGTGGAGCTGTTCAAGAATTAGTCTCAAGGTAAAGATGAATTTCCGACCAGGGCGAAACCCAGCTTAATTCTTACGAATTTGTCTCTCCCGATAATCCACCAACCTGCGCATAATAACGCCAGAGAGCACCTTAGATGCGATGGATAACAAGCTGATACCACGATGGTTTTCGCATGCCGTTCTTGCTCTTTTTTTAAAAAAACGGATGACGGTCGAGGAGCTCCATTGGGCTGGTATTCCGTTTCCGTTCCAAATCTTCTGCATTATAGTTGTCAGACTGCTCATCGGGACCTCGCCATTTTCTTTGAAGAGTGCGGGATGTAGACCATTCGGGCCAGGTTCCTTGTCGCGCTTCAGGATTGGGATCTCACACTGGATGTCGGTCGCTGATGGTGGGTTGGTGTCAATATTCCGTTCGGATCCGCTTGGTTCTTCCAGCGGTTGTGTTGAAGAAGACCAGGTGAAATTTTCTTGGAATTGCTTAGCCCACCTCTCAAGACGGCCATTTAGGGAGTGAATTGTTTTTCCTTCTCACTGACACTGCCTTCTTTTGACCCGTTGATGGGACCAGTTTCAACAGGGCGCGGCTGTTGCCTGGACCTTCGAAATCTACCAACGTTCTTTCATTCTTCAAGCTCTTGATTATCCGGTGTTTGAGGGATCTATGTGGGCCGTCATAATCGTTAGTTGCTGGCATGGCCTTTCTGGCAGCAATAAAATCTAGTGATCTCGAAGATATCTCTTTTGGCACGCGTAGTGCTGGCGGAAGGCGAAGTGTTATGGGGGCCCGCCCGGTGGCGTGATCAGAGTCAGTTGGCGTACTGCAGAAGGGACGGCATTCCTTAACTGAGTCTCAACCGTTAACGGAGAGCCAATT